CGGGACATGACTGGTTACATGATTGGTTAATAGAAAAATGCCTAATTAGCATACAACGAGTGGAGTTCAGCGCCTAATTAGCATACAACGAGTGGAGTTCAGCGCATGCGCGCACGTGGAGAAAGACAAGGAAACAAGAAGGAGGAAGTTGAGGTCGGCGCCATCTTGTAATGGCGTTTGTAGCTCTCAACACAGAAGAGCGCTTAACTACTGTGCTTAACTACTGGACTCCGATCTCCTGGTGAACAATGTGAATTGCATCTGCTGCCTTGATCCCTCTTTGCCATGTAAGGTGACAAGAGTCACAGGTTCCAGAACATGGATGTCTTCGGGAGGCATTTTCCTGCTTTCTCTCCCCCCTGGCCCCCCAGAGTCCTAGTATGACACTATGGGATAAAGCACTGGACCGCAAGGTTGGTGGCTCAAACTCACCAGCTGCTCCTTGGAAACCCTAGACAGTTTTGCTATGAGTTGGAACTGACTTGATGGCACTTAACAAAACAACAATCTTGCCTCCCACACATCTGATGGTGTCTTTGGGGCACCAGCCAGTTCTTCAGTGTTTGTCTCCTCATTGTTAAGTTTGCACCAACCAGTCTCCATGGTGACCAGCAAGCAGGAGCTCTAATGTTCAGGCCCCTTAGACAGTGGGATCTCACTGACTGTGCATATCTGGGACTGACTTTAATGCATAGTTGTCATTAGGTGCCTTCGAGTTGGTTCTGACTCATAGTGTCCACCGTACACCAGCATGGAAAGTTGCTCAGTCCTGGGCCATCCCATTTGGTGCTTTGCTTGAGTCCATTGCTGTAGCCTCTATCGGTCTATGTCATTGCAGGTCTGCCTCTTTTCACAGACCCTCTACTTCACCGAGCATGATCTCCTTTTCCAGAAACTGGCTCCAAAGTTCATGTGACAAAGTCTTGCCATCCTGGCTTCTAAGGAGCACTCTGGCTTCACTTCCTCCAGAGACAGATTGGTTTGTTCTTCTGGCAGTCCATGGTACTTTCAATATTCTCCTCCAACACCATAACTCAAATACGTCAATTCTCTGACCTTACTCACTGTCCAGTGTTTCACATGCATATGAAACAACTGAAAACACCGTGGCTTGGGTCTGGGGTGCATCTTTGCTCTTGAACACTTTAAAGAGGCCTTTGTAGCATGTTGTGTGCTGGTAAGCCGTTTCAGACTCATAGTGAACCTGATAGGGTTTCCAAGAGTAGCTGGTAGGTTTGAACTGCCCGACCTTGCGGTTAGCAAGGTTAGCAGTCCAGTGTTTATTCACTTATCCTATAGTGCCACACCAAGGCATACCGTACAGTATAGTTATGATCAGATAATCAATGAATATGCATGACCGCATCATGCCCTGTCCCCTTCCTGAAGTTGGCTGGCTAGGTGAGGGTCCTCTGTGACCCCTACTTGCTGGGGTATTTTAAAGAAACGGAGACTGCCTTAACTGCTCAGGCTGTTTTCAGAAACCAGATACAAAAAGCCAAACTTACTGTCTTGATCCCACAGATAGATACCCTCTTTTTTCTGAGCAATGAATGGACCAACAGAAACAAGTATGTGAATACACACAGCTGGTTCAGAGTGTCATGATCCAGTAATAGATAGTCAGCGAAAAACAAACTCACCCATTTCCACCCCAGTAACATTTTGGTAATACCTTGCTAGCTGACCTTCCCACCACGGACCCTGTAGGACCCCTGCCCCATAGGGTTTCTGAGACTGTAACTCTTCAAGGGAGCAGACAGTCTCACCTTTCCCATGGAGCAGTTTATTGGTGGTTTTGAACCGCTGACCTTGTTAGCCCAATGCTTAACCCACAATGCCACCAGAGATTGCTTGTTGACTTTAATCCATTGTGATTTGTAAAGGTCTCTGGGTGGTGGGAACCATTTGCTCTAACAGGTTGATGATTTGAACCCACCCAAGAAGACAAAGTCAAATATTACAAAAAATGTGCAAAGATCTGGAGTCAGAAAACCAGAAGGGAAAAACACGCTCAGCATTTCTCAAGCTGGGGAACTGAAGAAAAAATTCAAGCCTTGACTTCCATTATTGAAAGATTCTTTGGACAAATTATTGAATGATGCAGAAAGCATCAAAAGAAGATGGAAGGAGTACACAGAGTCACTGTACCAAAAAGAAATGGTTGATGATCAACAGTTTCAAGAGGTAGCATATGATCAAGAGCAAATGATCCTGAAGGAAGAAGTCCAAGGTGCATTGAAGGAATTGGCAAAGAACAAGGCACCAGGAATTGATGGAATAAAAGAAAGTGAGGTGGCACAAGAGGCACTCACTCATCTCTGCCAAGAAATTTGTAAGACAACTATCTGGCTGACTGGTTGGAAGAGATCTTTATTTGTGCCTATTGTAATGAGAGGCGACCCAACAGAATGCAGAAATCATCGGACAATCTCTTTGATATCCCATGCGAATAAAGTTTCACTAAAGGTAATACAGAAAGGGCTGCAAGCATACATTGACAGAGAACTTCCAGAGGTTCAAGCTGGATTCAGAAGAGGATGTGGAATGAAGGATATCATTGCTGATGTCCAATTGATCTTGGCTGAAAGCAGAGAATACCAGAAAGATGTTTATCTGTGCTTTATTGACTATGCAAAGGGCTTTCAATTGTGTGGATCATGAAAAGCTATGGACAACATTGTGAAGTACGAGTATTCTGAAACACAATTGTGCTCATGAGGAATCTGTACATGGACCAAGAAGCAGTTGTTCAAATAGAACGTGTGAACACGAATGGTTTAAAATTAAGAAAGGTGTGCGACAGGGTTGTATTCTTTCACCATACTTATTCATCCTGTATGCTGAGCAAATAATCCGAGAAGCTGGGTTCTATGAAGAAAAATATGGCATCAGGATTGGAAGAAGACTCATTAACAACCTGCGATATGCAGATGATACAACCTTGCTTACTGAAACTGAAGACAACTTAAAATATTTGCTGATGATCAAAGAGCACAGCCTTCAGTATGGATTACATCTCAATGTGAAGAAAACAAAAATCCTCACCACTGGACCAATCAACAACATTCTTATCAGCGGAGTAAAGATGGAAGTTGTCAAGGACTTCATTCTTCTTGGATCAACTATCAACACTCATGGAAGCAGCAGTTAGGAAATCAAACGATGTATTGCATTAGGCAAATCTGCTGCACAACACCTTTTTGAAGTGTTGAAGAGCAAAGATGTCAGCTTGAGGACTAAGGTGCGCCTGACCCAAGCCATGGTATTGTCAATAACCTCAGATGCATGCAAAAGCTAGATATTTGACCGTAGAAGAATTGATGCTTTTGAGTTATGGTGTTGGAGGAGAACATTGAAGGTGCCATGGGCTGCCAAAAGAACCAACAGATCTGTGTTGGAAGACGTGTAGCCAGAGTGCTCCTTGGAGGCCAGGATGGCCAAACTTTGTCTCTCCGTACTTCAGATATATTGTCAGGAGGGACCAGTCACTGGAGAAGGATATCATGTTTGGTAAAGTGGAGGGTCAGAGAAAAAGAGGAAGACCCCCAGCGAGATGGATTGCCAAAGTGGCAGCATCAGTGGGCTCAAGCATGGCAACAATTGTGAGGTAGGCCCAGGACTGGGCAGTGTTTCGTTCTGTTGTGCATAGGGTCGCTATGAGTTGGTACTGGCTTGATGGCACCTAACAACAACAACATCAGGTCCTAGTGTGGCACTGTAGGTTAATGTGCTAGACTGCAAAAGTTGTATGAACCACCAGGTCAGTGGTTCAAGCTCACCAGCTGCTCCTCGGGAACCCTATACAGGAAAAGAGAGCTCCTCCCTTTGAGATCGGTGGTGGTGATGTGCCACGGAGTTGGTTGGACCCAGTACAGGGTTTCCAAGCCTGTAAATCTTTATGGGAGCAGAAAGCCTCATCTTTCTCCCACGGAATAGTTTTGAACTGCTAACCTTGAGGTTAGCAGCCCGACTTGTCAAGAAAACCCTGTGGTATCCGCTACATGGTCAGTGAGTACAAGGCTCTGGGCTCCTAGTAACTCCTAGTTAGAAGTACATTCATCACTCAACTCCCCCCTCCCACCCCCGGGGGCTTCAGGTGGGGAAAATGAGGCAGAGATAAGGAGGAGATACATTGAAACGGCCGCTAGAGGTGCTGGCAGAGCAGAACCCCCCACAAGGTTTCTCCCTAGCCTTGACCCTCCATCCATCCTGGAGCCCTGGACCTCTGGGCCTCCATTGGTGGGACCTTGTCTCCTTCACAGGAAGTTGCCACTGGGCCCCTCAGGGTCCGTGACCTGGAGGAGGAGCTAACATCTATCTGCTGGCCTGGGCGTGGCCTGTGGGCAGCCTGCTCCCAGGATGCCCCTGACCGAGCCCAGAGAGCGGGAGGGTGAGAGCATGCGGGCTGGCCAAGAACCTGCCCGACAGCCTGGCATGGACGTCGTCCCTGCGGCCCCCAGGATACCTAAGAAGTTCTCCAGGCTCGTCCTGCTCACGGCCTCCAAAGACAGTGCCAAAGTGTCTGGGGCCAAGCGCAAAGGGGTGCACTGCATCATGTCCCTGGGCGTGCCCGGCTCTGCCACCCTCGCCAAGGCCCTCCTGAAGATCCACCCCGAGGCCCAGCAGAAGATGGAAGCCACATCCCAGGAGCCTGAGCCCAAACGAAGCAGGCTAGACACAGGTGAGGGTGGGGCTGCCTTCCCCCCGCCCAAGGGGCTTGGTGTTCTGGGAGCTGCTGCCCCCTGCTGGATGAACCGGGATAGTTAACGAGCCAACAGGTGCGGGTCCGCCTTCCCCTCAGCTCCTCCAGGACAGGCAGTCTGAACACCCACATCGCTCAAGTTAGGGAGCGCTGGGTGGCAGAGCTGTCTGGGGTGGGGGTGGGGGTGCTGCAGTGGTCTGAGTGCTGCAGGCTTGCTTGGGGGTAGGAGCCGACAGCCCCGGCTCTCTGCACTCGCCTTGGTTGGGACAGATGTCCCATTCTCAGACTCTAGGCTCTGCTTCTATGTGATGCTTGACCTTTCCTGGACGGAGACAGGGCCTCTCAGAGACCAGGGACCCCAGCCTCCAGCCCCCCAGTGCAGAGGGCACAGCTCATGCTGTTGGGTGATACCCAAAGATCAGTCCTACTTGAGTGTCTTTATCCTGGGACCAGCTGGTTCCTCAGACCAGTCCCCAGTGACCTGTGAACAGGCTGTGCTCAGGGTCAAGTTGTCACCCTGGGACCACCAGTCAGTCCCCTGCAGAGGGATGGAGGCTTGGTGTCTCCCTGAGAAGCAGCTCTGCCTGGAGTTTCCAGCTCACGGATCCGATTTACACAGCCTAGTACTTGGTTCTGTAGCTCTAATTCATTTGTCCCCAACCTCTATCCTCCATCCATCCCAGAGCCCTGACCTTGCCCAGTGAGAGGAAGAGAAGTTAACACCCATCTGCTGACCTGGGCATGGCCTGCCAGAGGCCCCCCCACCCCCTGTACATATGGACAGAGGGTCAGTGCAGGACCTGAGCCCCATGGGCAGTCGTGGATCCCCCGGCCACCTACCCTGTCTGTACCTCTATACCTTGGTCCCAGGTCTCCCCGCCTCACACCCAGCCCAGTCCTGGAAGTTGGGGTGACAGTAGCTCTTCTGTGTTTTGCTCTGTTGTGTCCAAAATATTGCTGGAAGTAACTACCAGCCTTTGGGTCCGAGTCCCTGGCGTCAGCCATCACCCTAACAGGTACAGGCTTCTGCTCCTGGCTTCCTGGTACCAGGTAGAGCCCAGGACTTCCCCACCCCAGTTCCTTTGATGGCAGCCTGACCCATCCTCTTCTTTTCCAGATGCAGAGGAAAAAGGTGACTGACGTTCATCTGGGCAGCTGCCCCCAGTCCCCTGGGTGGAATGGGAGGAGTCCCCACCATCCAAGGAGGGTCAGGGTGTGTGTTGCTGGCAGCACTGCCCTTAGTGTGTCGTAACCCTGACAACGATGACTTCCCAATCCCTGCGCGTCCACGTAACCTTGACAACAGCACAGCGTCTGCGTTCATGCTTAGTGGTGAACTCTACAGAGGGATACATGAGGGGGGGAGGGGGCTTAACAAAAGTAGTGGAAAAATGGAATGAAAAGATAATGTAATTTTTCCACGAGTTTTTTGAAGGCTCTTTGGGCAAGATCAAAAGGGCCTAGGGCCCAGTCACCCTTGGATTTTCACTGTGGACACTCTGCTTTTTTTTTCTTTTAGATCAAGCTTGTTACTTTTGTAAGCAAAATTCTGTCCCCCC